CACATCTACATTCCTGCCAAATTTCTTGTTGATCGGTGCAGCCATTTCTGTGATATGCTTGACCAAAAAGCACTGAAAAAATTAAAGCTAAAAAAAAACAGTACAAAAAAATTATGACCCCTCGCTTCGCATGCGGGGGTCATAATAAAGTCTGAAAAAAATTGTGAGCAATGAGTAGAACTTGGGGTATGTGTGTTGAGTGACTCTCATCTGTAATTACATAGAATTTTATAAAATTATCTGTGTAATTACTAAATTTAAGACATTTTTGTATTTTCTAAGGTGAAAGTTTAATTAAAGTGCATCTGGTGATTCAAGAGATAATTCACAAACAATAATGATAAAAAAATATGTGCAATCTGTTAGCACACAGGATAAATGATAGAGATCAGTCTCAGCTACAACCACATTTAGTGAGTTATAATGATTGTTGTGTTTTTTGAGGGTTAGGGTTGGCATCAGTCATGAATCAGGCTAACTCCAAACGTTAATTAGTGAATGAGCTACATCTAATAATTCTTATCTGCAACATTTATTAAAATGACTCCAGTGGTTAGCAAGATAGTTTGGTAACAGAGACCTGTGAATGCATACACAGACACAGATAAAAACATTTTTGCATTTGGTGACGGGTGGTAATAACAAAGGAAATACTGAAACTCCAGGTTCAGATTCAGCTCTGATGAGGCGATGGGAGAATGGTGCCTCTTCATGACGAATCCTGTCTGCCAAAGTCAGTAAATGAGAACACTTCTCTGCAGCGGCAGCGCCAAGGCCTGTGAGCCCATGAGCTACAACAGGATGGAGCCTCTTTTATATCTACACAAACAGAAGGAAGCCTTATGAACTTTGCACAAATGCTTAGTGCTCCGGGGCTGGACAGCTCTGGAAGCCGGWCGGGATGGGTAGGTACCGGGGCGAGCTGCCAGTTCCAAAAGGCTTAGTGTTGGTGCACTGGGGCCAGACAAATCTTACATTGTCCTGGGGACTACCCCGGAGAAAAACCTCTTCCACTTTCTGTGCACAACCGCGGCTCGTTCACACACTGCGCCCAGCTGATTCACTCAYTGAGACACAACAAACAGGTTGAAAAACAAACATGTATTCACACCTTAAAAACAACTGTTAATTACTGAAAAAACAACCCTTGAAGGAATGCCTATAGCCAATCGCCTTTCAAGCCAGAGATCCTAAGATCCTCTTCTGTTGAGAAATGGCAGAGTAGTTGTTTTGGCAAATCCTTGAGAATAACTCTGGCCTGGGCCAAACTATACCCAGTCTTAATCTGGGCAGGGGTTAATTTAGTCCTGGAATGAAATCCTACGACCTCCTTGCTAAGAAGCAACAGCTCTACCAGCTGCACCACCGTGCCACAAGTTTCAACTTCAACATGACAAAAACATGGTGACATGAAGTTCCCATCATTTATGCGTTTATAACTAAAGAGGCTGAAAAATCGTGATGAAGGATATAATTGGGAAGAACCAAAGCAAACTGGAGAGAAATCCCTTTATTTGCAAGAATAAGGAAAGAAACAAATTCATCTACATTTCTCACATCATATATGAGTTGTATAATTAAGTTACAATTTACATGATAACTTAGATGATTTGTTTTTTATATATTTAGCTGTTAATGTCTACATAATTAAATATGTATAAAACAAGCAGAAGTTAAATGGATCCAGTAAAGCAACACAACAACACACAGGTGTTGTGTCCAGATTTGTTGTCCCTATGAGGTCCAGCTACTACTAGGTCTTTTGCCTACTTCAATAGTCATTGTTTTCTGCTGCTTCTGTCAGCCAAGAAGACCTCGCAAAGCATAAATCTATTCTTTAGATAGTTTAAAAGTGCAAACGTAGCTGTAAATGTTATGTGTAACATTCCTAGCAGTCCAATAAATACAGTGTCAAATTTTAGGTCAATTTCCGCAGAACTGGCTCAGTCCAATTTAGGGTTTTTAAGATTAGCTGGATATGGCACTAATCTTGAACTGGATAGACTCCAAAAGTTATTCAGTCCTAAAGGTGCATCCTTTGATTAACTTATGAAAATGCCATTAAAATCAATTGGGTGATTTATGAAATACTTTGTCATAACAGAGAAAAATTGATACTACCGTATTTATTCAAGTATAATACATACAAGAAAATCCATAAAATCATCCATAAAGTTGGGGGGGGCGGGGGTAGTACTAAACTCGGATAAATATTTTTACTTATGTATTTTAACTGAAATATTGGCTTCATTTACAAAATGCCTGAGTCCGGAAATGAGACCGCATCGTAAAAAGCAGTTGAAACGAGCTTACCCCTGACACTTCTCTGTGCTTTATAGTGAGATAATAACAGATCCAGGCAGGCGACATGATGTGGAAAAAAGGGGGGAAAGCAATCCTGCACCTTTTGTAATGATAGCAAACTAATGACATTAGCATGTGACCGAGCCGCTGCTGGAACAACAACAAACACATGTTCGTCTGTAATGGCTACCGTCTACCTGTGTTCTGAAAAAGTTTGTATCCCTAGAAAAACATTTCCCCACCAGAGGGGGTGTTCGGGAGTAGGAAGTAATCTGCCTTTCCTCCACAAGATGGCCCAAATCTCATGTGAAGTCCCTGACTTTTGTGTTGGCGCATCCTGGTGGACTATGTATAAAATGTCAGAGTTCATATGATGCTGATACAGCTGATATATATTTGTTGTCAAAATACCTTTTAGTACATATGTTGTTAAAATAAAATGAACAGTCCAATGATCATTTTACTGATATGTATAAAGACTGCAAAGGCTGAAAAATCTTGAAGTCTGTATGAAATTGGAGGTTTTTTGAGGATTTAATTTTTTATGCTTTTTAAGCTCAAAAAAGAGGGGGTTGTATTATACATGAGATTGTATTATACACGAATAAATAYGGTAGTTAATTCTGCTAGTATCACTTTGCTTCTCTATTTACRTTAAATCCAAGATGTAATCACTTTTAGATGATAACTCAGTGATTAATTTCTGTTTGTTTTATTTA